GAGAAGTTTTTACAAAGTAGAAGTGATGCAAGGAGGGAAGAAATATATGGAGAAAAAGAGAGAAGTTAAGAGAGTGGTGAAGCAATGTAAAAAGAGAGCAAATGAGAGAGTGGGTGAGATGTTATCAACAAATTTTGTTGAAAATAAGAAAAAGTTTTGGAGTGAGATTAACAAGTTAAGAAAGCCTAGAGAACAAATGGATTTGTCAGTTAAAAATAGGAGAGGAGAGTTATTAAATGGAGAGTTAGAGGTATTGGGAAGATGGAAGGAATATTTTGAGGAATTGTTAAATGTTGATGAAGATAGGGAAGCTGTGATTTTCGTGTATAGGGCAAGGAGGAATAACATCTTGTAGGAGTGAGGAAGAGCCAGTTGTGAGTGTGGGGGAAGTTCGTGAGGCAGTAGGTAAAATGAAAGGGGGTAAGGCAGCCGGGATTGATGGGATAAAGATAGAAATGTTAAAAGCAGGTGGGGATATAGTTTTGGAGTGGTTGGTGCAATTATTTAATAAATGTATGGAAGAGGGTAAGGTACCTAGGGATTGGCAGAGAGCATGCATAGTTCCTTTGTATAAAGGCAAAGGGGATAAAAGAGTGCAAAAATTATAGGGGGATAAGTCTGTTGAGTGTACCTGGTAAAGTGTATGGTAGAGTTATAATTGAAAGAATTAAGAGTAAGACGGAGAATAGGATAGCAGATGAACAAGGAGGCTTTAGGAAAGGTAGGGGGTGTGTGGACCAGGTGTTTACAGTGAAACATATAAGTGAACAGTATTTAGATAAGGCTAAAGAGGTCTTTGTGGCATTTATGGATTTGGAAAAGGCGTATGACAGGGTGGATAGGGGGGCAATGTGGCAGATGTTGCAAGTGTATGGTGTAGGAGGTAGGTTACTGAAAGCAGTGAAGAGTTTTTACGAGGATAGTGAGGCTCAAGTTAGAGTATGTAGGAAAGAGGGAAATTTTTTCCCAGTAAAAGTAGGCCTTAGACAAGGATGTGTGATGTCACCGTGGTTGTTTAATATATTTATAGATGGGGTTGTAAGAGAAGTAAATGCGAGGGTCTTGGCAAGAGGCGTGGAGTTAAAAGATAAAGAATCACACACAAAGTGGGAGTTGTCACAGCTGCTCTTTGCTGATGACACTGTGCTCTTGGGAGATTCTGAAGAGAAGTTGCAGAGATTGGTGGATGAATTTGGTAGGGTGTGCAAAGAAGAAAATTAAAGGTGAATACAGGAAAGAGTAAGGTTATGAGGATAACAAAAGGATTAGGTGATGAAAGATTGAATATCAGATTGGAGGGAGAGAGTATGGAGGAGGTGAACGTATTCAGATATTTGGGAGTGGACGTGTCAGCGGATGGGTCTATGAAAGATGAGGTGAATCATAGAATTGATGAGGGAAAAAGAGTGAGTGGTGCACTTAGGAGTCTGTGGAGACAAAGAACTTTGTCCTTGGAGGCAAAGAGGGGAATGTATGAGAGTATAGTTTTACCAACGCTCTTATATGGGTGTGAAGCGTGGGTGATGAATGTTGCAGCGAGGAGAAGGCTGGAGGCAGTGGGAGATGTCATGTCTGAGGGCAATGTGTGGTGTGAATATAATGCAGAGAATTCGTAGTTTGGAAGTTAGGAGGAGGTGTGGGATTACCAAAACTGTTGTCCAGAGGGCTGAGGAAGGGTTGTTGAGGTGGTTCGGACATGTAGAGAGAATGGAGCGAAACAGAATGACTTCAAGAGTGTATCAGTCTGTAGTGGAAGGAAGGCGGGGTAGGGGTCGGCCTAGGAAGGGTTGGAGGGAGGGGGTAAAGGAGGTTTTGTGTGCGAGGGGCTTGGACTTCCAGCAGGCATGCGTGAGCGTGTTTGATAGGATGTGAATGGAGACAAATGGTTTTTAATACTTGACGTGCTGTTGGAGTGTGAGAAAAGTAACATTTATGAAGGGATTCAGGGAAACCGGCAGGCCGGACTTGAGTCCTGGAGATGGGAAGTACAGTGCCTGCACTCTGAAGGAGGGGTGTTTATGTTGCAGTTTAAAAACTGTAGTGTAAAGCACCCTTCTGGCAGACAGTGATGGAGTGAATGATGGTGAAAGTTTCTCTTTTTCGGGCCACCCTGCCTTGGTGGGAATCGGCCGGTGTGATAATAAAAAAAAAAATATAGGACAAAACCTTGCCAATAAAATCCCAAGCTCAGATACCCCACCAAATGACTACCTCACCGGCAACTACCCGAACACACTGTTCCTAGCTCGACTAACCCATACGAAGTCTCCCTTATTATCAACGCACAAAAAAACAAGGCAGGAGATTTAAATACCTTACCACCCCTTATATACAAAAAAACAAGTGTCACAAGTGCTATCACCAATCATTGCAACACTCTTTAACAAATCCATTGAATCCTCCACCTTCCCTACAGTACTCAAAATAGCAAGGGTCACCCCGATCCACAAAGGAGGAGACCAAACAGAGTTGAATAACTATAGGCCAATATCCAACTTACACCCTCTCTCAAAAATCTTCGAAAATTAATTCATAAACGAATCTACTCCTACCTTATCTCCCAAAACATACTCAACCCCTGCCAATTTGGATTCAGGCCTAATAAAAATACTAATGATGCTATTATACACATGCTAGAACATATATACACTGCAATAGAGAAAAAAGAAGTCCCATGGGGATCTTCATTGACTTACGTAAAGCTTTTGATACAGTTGACCATGACTTGCTCCACGTAAAATTGTCATACTATGGTATAAGAGGGCACTCCCTTAACTACCTCAAGTCTTACCTCAGCAACAGAAGCCAATATGTGTACGCAAATGGGGCAAACTCTTCTGCACAACCAATTACAGTTGGTGTCCCACAGGGAAGTGTCCTTGGCCCTCTTCTCTTTCTCCTATACATAAATGACCTTCCAAATGCTTCGCAATTACTCAAACCCACACTATTTGCAGATGACACTACATATGTCTTCTCTCACCGAGCCCAGTCACGCTAGCCAATACTGTAAATACCGAATTACAGAAAATATCTACCTGGATGAGGACTAACAAACTTACACTAAACATTGACAAAACCTACTTCATTCAGTTTGGTAACAGAGCTACAGATGTCCCTCTTAACATAATGATAAATGGATCACCTATCACAAAACTAACAGAGGGAAAATTCTTAGGAATCCACCTTGATAATAGACTCAAATTTCATACACATATACATCAAATTTCTAAGAAAATTTCCAAGACTGTAGGCATACTATCGAAGATACGGTACTATGTTCCACAGTCAGCCCTCCTGGCCCTATATCACTCTCTTATTTACCCCTATCTCACCTATGGAATTTGTGCATGGGGCTCAACAACAATTAACCATCTCAGACCACTAATTACCCAACAAAAGGCTGCAGTTAGAATGATAACAAATTCTCACTACAGGCAGCACACTCCACCAATATTCAATACACTAAACCTACTCACCATACAAAACATCCATACTTATTACTGCACCTATTACATGCATAGAACACTTAACTCTGATATTAACCCTCCCCTCAAACATCTCCTTGCCAACCTCAACAGAACACATGACCATAACACAAGGCACAGATCACTCTTGATGTTCCTCGTGTCCATCTCACACTATGCAAAAACTCAATGCACATAAAAGGCCTAAAATCTGGAATTCATTACCTGTAAATATAAAAGAAACAAACCTGTTTATAAATTCAAGTCTCTTCTCAAAGATTACTTACTCACCCAAAACCAAATAAATACTGAATAACTGAACATTATAAATTGTATATCTTAAATGTTTCTCACAATTATATCACATAAATGTTAAACCTAAAACCCAATCTAACTTTATTATTTTTTAAATACACTACCTAACAGAATCACTACCTAACTGAATGCAACCATATGACCTGTCTTTGTAATACTCACTTGTGCTTTATAGTTATCTGTTTACATTAATGTTTTACCACTGATTTCATCATTGCTTAGTAGCAGCGCTTTATAGTCCTTGTGGCTTAGCGCTTCTTTTTGATTATAATAATAATAATAATCATTGCTTAGTTAATCTTAAGTTAATTTTAAGCCAGCCCGTAATGCTATGCATAGTATAAGTGGCTTTGGCATACTGCTCTTATCTGTATTTTTTTTGTACCTCTGTATGTGTGCACAAATTGGAAATAAATAAATAAAAAGCCACTAAACTCAGGGTCTTCATCACTTTCCTCTTAAAAGGGGAGTGTTAATACAACATGACATCAATGACTCCTAGGTGTTTGCTGCGCTGTTTGCTCTAGCTGGCGCTCAATTGAACTGGTGCTCCCACAAGGTACTAAGTGGTCCCAGATTTTTTTAATACTGCACAAACCGAGTGTTAAGACCCATGCTATGCTGACCAGGCATCTCAGGCCAATCATGCTAAATTTGGAGGCAAGAAAAATAAAACGTAGATCTATGTTTGGAGTGCTAGAAGTAAGAACATAGATCCACATTTGGACAGCTAATGGGTTAAATAATAATATTAAAATACACACCACCAACCACTGCAGGTAAAAACGGCAGATACCTGACCTGCGGATATGGAAGCCCTACTGTACAGGTACTGTACTTTCCACCTCCAGTACTGTAACATACCCGCTCATCCTTCAGAGCACAGACACTGTACTTCCCACCTCCAGTACTGTAACATTCCCACCTCTCCTTCAGAGTACAGACACTGTACTTCCCACCTCCAGTACTGTAATATCCCCACCTCTCCTTCAGAGTACAGATCCCCACCTCTCCTTCAGAGTACAGATCCCCACCTCTCCTTCAGAGTACAGACACTGTACTTTCCACATCCAGGCATTTTAGATGCATTCAATATTGAAAAAAATGCTTTTCCACTCACTGGCAATTTTCACTCACTGACAGGGGTCAGGAACCTAACAGGTGCAAAACCAGGGCCCTCCTGTACTTACATAACTGTACAAAGAATAGACAACTAACCAACATAATACTTCCTGGAGATGAAGGTGTTCCCTGAGCAATCAAGTACATGACGTCGAAGGTCTAATGGGTCGGCTTTCTGAAAAAAAAAAAAAAAAGGCTGCAATTTATTGACATCACACAAGAAAGGTTTATAGTTAAATTAATTACTGTGACCTTGAAGATCATGAAGCAAGTGACTACTGTGAACTTGAAGATAGTAGAACAAAAAAAAATATTCTTTGAGGTGAATACAGTAATGTGCAACAACTGTAATTGGTGGTAACATTAACCCTTTCAGGGTCCGTCCCGTAGATCTACGGCTTTACGTTCAGGGTCCAAACCGTAGATCTACGCCATGAGCTCAGCTCACTCTGATAAACTGTGAGTGATACATTTGGGCCTAGATATGAGAGAATACATCTATGTGGTATGTGTGCACCACATAAAACAGATCCTGCAGCACACTGTGTATAATGAGAGAAAAAAAATGAAATCATGATTTTTCGATTAAAACAGCAACTTTGCAGTGTTTTTTCGTATGTTTTTTATAGTTGTACTTGCGATTTCTTGGTCTCATTTGATAGAATGGAAGACATATTACAGAAATAGAGATGATTTTGATTGGTTTTAGCACTGGAAATGGCTTGAAACTGAGCTCAAAGTAGCAGAAATGTTAAATTTTTGCCGATATTCAAGAGTAATCAAACGACCTCACACGTCTAATACACGCCAGCTGGTGGGTCTAATATACATTCACAAATATGGTGATGATATTTATACAATTATTACAGTATTGCATAACAGTAAATCTTCTATTTTTTGGTGTGAATAAAAATTCATTATGTGAATAAAAAATAAAAATTGAATTTATTTGTAAAGCCTCAAAACATAACTAATGAACAGAAGAAATGTTAGTTTAGTGCCAGGAATGCCTACATTGTTCATTCTGGACCCTATTTTGAAATTGGAATATTTTGAACTTTGTATTAAATTGGCCAAATTAACAATTTCCAATCACTTTATTTTTGTAGTTGAAACAGTTGACTTGGCGATTTCTTGTGCTCAATCGATAGAATAGAAGTAATACTAGTGAAATAGCTAAGAATTTGGTTGATTGGAATAATGTAATTGGCCTAAAATGGGAGTCAAAGTCGGCAAAATCGCCGATTCGTAAATATCGCTGACACATCAAAATTCGCGAGAGCATAATTTCGTCAATTTTCCACCAAATTTCGTACTTTTTGTTTTATTACCTTCACAAAAAGATTCTCTATGATTTCATAAGAAAAAATAACAAATTTTTTTTTTGAAAATTCTTGGACACTGGTGCGTGACTCCAGATTTGGGCCTTGGACCCTGAAAGGGTTAAATTCAAAAAATTCAAATTTATATATTTCTTTGCAAGTAGTACATTGAGATTATGTATTTACAATAATGGGTTGCAATGCAAAGAGAGCATCTATTATGCCTAGGCATTATGGGTGACTTAATTTATTGGCTTACTGACTACTTAACACTAAAGAAATTTATCATAGTTGTACAGTAGTTCTATTAATTATGAGTGAATCTAATTTATATAAACAAAAATATCAGAAAGGTGACAACTACCTTTGGCAATTATAAGGTCCATTAGGAAGCATATTAATGAGGCATGAAGCAAGGTGCTAGTCACCTCCTCCTCCTGTATAAATTACTAAATTTAACCCCTAAACTGTCCAAGCAGATCTACTTTTTTACATACTTTCAAACGTTGAAAAACGTAGATCTACGTTTGGACAGTTTAAAGGTTAAAAAGGAAAACCTTTGTTTTTTTTTTTAGGTCACCCACAACGAAAAGCAGAGGCAACATGAGTACACTAAGAGACAATACAATAAGTGTCAGGGGCCCAAGACTGTTCAACTGCCTCCCAGTATACATAAGTGGGATTACCAATAGACCCCTGGTTCTCCTCAAGAAGACGCTGGACGGGTATCTGAAGTCAGCACCTGATCAGCCAGGCTGTGGTTCATATGTCAGTTTTTGTGCAGCCAGCAGTAACAGCCTGGTTAATCAGACCCTGATCTACCACAAGGCCTGGTCTTAGATTAGGCCGCAGTGGTGTTGACCCCCGAAACTCTCTCCAAGTATACTCCAGGTATACCCTGCCTTGGTGGGATACAGCTGGTTTGTTGAAAGAAAAAAAAAGGAAAAACTTTTGTTCTTCTCTTAACCCTAAAACTGTCCAAACGTAGATCTACGTTCATGTGTGTAGTGCTCTGAATGTAGATCTACGTTCATGCGCGTAGCACTCCGAACGTAGATCTACGTCCGTTTTTACATGCTTTCTTATGTGAAAAAATGTAAATCTACATTCAGAGCACTACATACATTAACGTAGATCTACGTTTGGACAGTTTAACCCTTTCAGGGTCCGTCCCGTAGATCTACGGCTTTACGGTGAGTGTCCAAACCGTAGATCTACGCCATGAGCTCAGCTCACTCTGATAAACTGTGAGTGGTACATTTGGGCCTAGATATGAGAGAATACATCTATGTGGTATGTGTGCACCACATAAAACAGATCCTGCAGCACACTGTGTATAATGAGAGAAAATAACTGACTTCATGATTTTTCGATTAAAACAGCGACTTTGCAGTTTTTTTTCGTATTTTTTTTATAGTTGTATTTGCGATTTCTTGGTCTCATTTGATAGAATGGAAGACATATTACAGAAATAGAGATGATTTTGATTGGTTTTAGCACTGGAAATGGCTTGAAACTGAGCTCAAAGTAGCGGAAATGTTAAATTTTTGCCGATATTCAAGAGTAAACAAACGACCTCACACATCTAATACACGTCAGCTGGTGGGTCTAATATACATTCACAAATATGGTGATGATATTTATACAATTATTACAGTATTGCATAACAGTAAATCTTCTATTTTTTGGTGTGAATAAAAATTCATTATGTGAATAAAAAATCAAAATGGAATTTATTTGTAAAGCCTCAAAATGTAACTAATGAACAGAGGAAATGTTAGTTTAGTTCCAGGAATACCTACATTGTTTATTCTGGAGCCTATTTTAAAATTGGAATATTTTGAACTTTGTGTTAAATTGGCCAAATTAACAATTTCATATCACTTTATTTTGTAGTTGAAACAGTTGACTTGGCGATTTCTTGTGCTCAATCGATAGAATAGAAGTAATACTAGTGAAATAGCTAAGAATTTGGTTGATTGGAATAATGTAATTGGCCTAAAATGGGAGTCAAAGTCGGCAAAATCGCCGATTCGTAAATATCGCTGACACATCAAAATTCGCAAGAGCATAATTTCATCAATTTTCCACCAAATTTCGTACTTTTTGTTTTATTACCTTCACAAAAAGATTCTCTACGATTTCATAAGAAAAAATAACAAATTTTTTTTTTGAAAGTTCTTGGACACTGGGGCACCACTTCAGATTTGGGCCTTGGACCCTGAAAGGGTTAAGGGTTAAGGTCCCCCTGCCTTGGGAGATGGCCAGTGCATTGAAAACGAAAAAAAAAATTAATGATGCAATCTGTTGGAAACAGTGAGACTACATTTGTCAACAAAATGTCATAATGTACATGTATGTATGTATGGATAAAGGTATCATGAGTTTTCGCCCACCATGAGGCAGGCCAAAGCAGCATGGGTTCAAGTCCTTGGCTAGTCGCAGTGTTGTTATTGATGTATGTATGTACCTCCGACCTGTAAATATTTTACATGATCTAAATCAAAACCTTTATTTCTTTACTAAGGTTACAATGTGTGTTTACATTTCATAATTTGATTGGTACAAAGAAAGCCACTATTATGCCGAGGCATTTCCAGCAGACTTAACCTAATACTCAGACTACTTAAGTCTAGACAGGTGAAGAGTGGCAGGTTACAGATATTCAATATTTTACTCTATTATTAATATGTAGTGGTAGTATAATTTATGATACAAACAAAGTTTGTAATTAAGTTTGTTTGCTCTATTATTAACCCTTAAACGGTCCAAACAGATCGATGTTCAAATCCGTAGTGCTCCAAAAGTAGATCTACGTTTTTTTTACATATTTTCAAATATAACAAAAAATAAAATGTAGATATAAGTTTTTTACACATTTTCAAATGTAAAAAACAAAAGAAGATCTAAATTTTTTTACATACTTTCAAATGTTGAAAAAACGTATATATACGTTTGGACCGTTTAAGGGTTACTATGAGGTAGTACAATTAATGATACATACATTTTAAAGTTTGTAATAATGGCTTAATAGTTAAGGGATAATAAAATATTTGGGAGAGTTGCTTTAAATTACGTTAAGAGTTTAGCATAGTGTGGGTATGGTTGTTACTGAGAGATGAGGTGATTTTTGAGTATAGTCTTAAATTGATTTATGGGCAGGGGACCTCTTGCTGTTTTGGGCAAAGAGTTCCAGATCCAGATCTGGAACTCTTTGCCCAACAGACACGAGGGGTGTCAAAAAGTGTTTTGTGCCTCGTGTTATGCCTGTGTGTTCTGTTGAAGCTGTCTAGAAGTTTGAATGGAGGGTTGATACTGGAGTTTAATGTTCTGTATATATAGCAGGCACAGTAATAAGTGTGTATAAAGTTGAAGCTTTTGAAAAGTGACGGGTGTGTTGTCTGGCACAGGAGTTTGTGATCATCTATAACACCTCTTTCTGTTGAGTTATTAAAGGTTTAAGGTGGCTGGCCATGGTAGATCCCCAAGCACAAATACCATAGGTGAGGTAGGGGTATATTAGAGAGTGATATAAAGTAAGGAGCACTTTCTTAGTTATATGCTGGATGTGGATCTGAAATTTAAGATTACAGTCAAGGTGGAGACCTAGAAATTTACCCTCAGTGTATCTTGTAATGGGTGAACCATTTATCAATATGTTTAGCTGGATATTTAATGCTCTGTTTCCAAAAAGCATGAAGTAGGTTTTGTCTATACTGAGATTAAGTTTGTTGGTTGTCATCCAGTTTGATAGTTTATGTAGCTCACTGTTTACAGTGTTATTAAGTATAGCTGAGTTTGGGTGGGAGAGAACGTAAGTGGTGTCATCTGCAAATAAAACTGGTTTAAGGAGTCGCGATGCATTTGGGAGGTCATTGATGTAAATAAGAAAGAGTAAAGGACCTAGGACACTTCCCTGTGGCACTCAAACAACTACAGGCTGAGTATTGGTCACACCATTTGTGTATACATACTGGTGTCTACCACTAAGATAAAATTTTAGGTAACTGAGAGTGTCCTCTGATGGTAGGATTGCTGGTGTCTTTTTTATGTCTCATAAACATGCAAGATTTCAGGTACGTCTTGCTACTTCTACTTACACTTAGGTCACACTACACATATATGTGCAAGCATAAGTATATATACATACCCTTCTGGGTTTTCTTCTATTTTCTTTCTAGTTCTTGTTCTTGTCTATTTCCTCTTATCTCTATGGGGAAGTGGAACCGAATTCTTCCTCCGTAAGCCATGCGTGTCGTAAGAGGCGACTAAAATGCCGGGAGCAAGGGGCTAGTAACCCCTTCTCCTGTATATATTACTAAATTTAAAAGGCAAAACTTTTGTTTTTCCTTTTGGGCCACCCCACCTCAGTGGGATACGGCTGGTGCGTTGAAAGAAGAAAGAAGAAAACATGCAAGATTTCAGGTACATCTTACTACTTCTACTTACACTTAGGTCACACTACACATGAATGTACAAGCATATATATACATACTCCTCTGGGTTTTCTTCTATTTTCTTATTAGTTCTTGTTCTTGTTTATTTCCACTTATCTCAGAATTCTTCCTCCATAAGCCATGTGTGTCATAAGAAGTGACTAAAATGCTGGAAGCAAGGGGCTAGTTACTCCTTCTCCTGTATATACAGTGTATTACTAAATTTAAAAGGAGAAACTTTCGTTTTTTCTTGTGGGCCACCCTGCCCTGGTGGGATACGGCTGGTTTGTTGAAAGAAAATGTACCTTTGATGAGTTCCAAGAGTTTTTCTACTCCCAGAGCCCAGCCTTAGGCCAGACTTATCTGGTGCTAGCCTGGTCAACCTGGTTGTTGTTGCTGGAGGCCCACTGACCCACATTATCCATCACAGCCTGGATGATCTGGTACCTGGTGAAGATACTTGTCCAGTTTTATCTTGAAGACATCTACACTTGTTCCAGCAGCCCTTCTGATATCTTCTGGTAAGATGCTGAATTGTCTAGGGCCACAGACATTCATATAGTGTTCCTTTGTCGTGCCCACAACACCCCTGCATTTCACTGGGTTTATTTTGCCCTTCCTCCCATCTCATACTCCTATATGCTCTAACGGCAGTGTGCAGATTTGGGACAATGCCCTCAAATACTTCCTAGGTATATATTACCAGGTATCTTTCTCTCTCCTCCATGTCAATGAGTACATATTAAAGACTAAGAAGTTCCCAGCAATTTTAATGATTTGGCTCTATATGGACCATAAATGATCTCTATATCTGTTCCAGTTCTGATATTTCTCCTGCCCTGAATGGGGTCATCAACACTGAGAAATATTCTAGATGAGAGACCACAAGTGATCTGATAAGTCACCACTGGAATTATTTCACTTATTCTGAAAGTTCTCATTATCTACTCCATCATCCTCCTGGCTGTCATGGCCTTAGTCTTTTTGTGTTTTTTGAAAGAAAGGTCAGCTTACATAATTATTCCTAAGTCTCCCACCCAATCAGGGTGACAAAAAAAAAAAAAAAAAAAAAAACATTTTCACCATTACTCATTCCATCACTGTCTTGCCAAAACTACAAATACCCTCACCCATCCTTCAGACAGCAGGCAACTGTATTTTCCACCTCTAGTCTTATTAACCGATTTCCTTGAATCCTTTCATAAATGTTACTTTGCTCACACTCTAACAGCAAGACTGTCAGCATAGTTGCTGATCCTCCTTTACATGTGTTGTATGTATAGATTAGCTGAGTATCATAGTACCATCCATGTGTTTATATAGAAGATCCCTATTAGGCCGAGTGACTGTATGACGTCACGAGATGCAGCATGAGTGAGTGGGTCGCTCTGCCTCGTCCTCACTCCACGCTAGACATACGAAGGCAAGCAGGCAGGCTGGGCCCCCCATCTCTTACCACAGTCTGACAATACATATCGTTACCATCCAACAAGTGTGTTTACCTTCAACCATCATATCACGACCCCTACCCCACCTTCCTCCACTACAGATTTATGCACCCCTCCAAGTCATTCAATTTTGTTCCATCCTCTCTAAATGTCTGAACCACCTCAACAACCCCTCTTCTGCCATCTATCACATCTCATACACTACACCTGTTTGAGGAAATATATTAAAAAAATTAGTTAATGGTTCTCCTTAAGAACCCTTGAAAAAAGTTCATTAGGGAACGGGGATTTATTTTGCTTTAATCAGTTAACCTGCTTGATTACCATATCCAAAGTGACTGATATTACATAATTTATTTTCTTTAAGCACACTATAGTAATTAATTACTAGGATATCATTTGTGACTTGTGTGAAAACTGAGAGGAAATAATTATTAAAAACTGAGCACATTTCATTCTCTTTGTCAGTAAGTTGTCCAGTTACTTTCAAGCAGGACTTAGCTTTTCTTTAACCTTTGTTCAATATAAATGAAAACACCTTATGGATTAGTTTTTGAATCCTTAGCAACTTATTTTTGTAGTCCTGTTCAGCTTTTCTTCTTTTAATCTCTCTTTTAATGTGAATATACTGATTGATAGAATGACTGATTGATGGAATGGCTAACTGATTGAATGACTGATTGATGGAATGATGCTCACCCTTGTGACACACCTATAAACTCCTCTCTTCTCCCCTGAAATTTGTCTGATTTCCCTGTTCATTTATTCTGGATCATTTCTATTCAATCTCGAATGGTCATTAAACTGAACTACAGTTCTAAGAAAAGTGAGATGCAGGACCTCTAACTAATTATCTAACAGTTCTTCATATCGCAACACTAGGAAACAGTGAAAACAGTTAACAGCACCCCACAGTTTTCTTGTTTAACCCTTTCAGGGTCCAAGGCCAAAATCTGAAGTGGTGCCCCAGTGTCCAAGAATTTTCCCCAAAAAAAAAATTATTTTTTCTTATGAAATGGTAGAGAATCTTTTTGTGAATGTAATAAAACAAAAAGTACGAAATTTGATGGAAAATTGACGAAATTATGCTCTCGTGAATTTTGATGTGTCAGCGATATTTACGAATCGGCGATTTTGCCGACTTTGACTCCCATTTTAGGCCAATTACAATATTCCAGTCGACCAAATTCTCAGCTATTTCACTAGTATTACTTCTATTCTATCGATTGAGCACAAGAAATCGCCAAGTCAACTGTTTCAACTACAAAATAAAGTGACCGGAAATTGGTAATTTGGCCAATTTAACACAAAGTTCAAAATATTCCAATTTCAAAATAGGGTCCAGAATAAACAATGTAGGTATTCCTGGCACTAAACTAACATTTCCTCTGTTCATTAGTTATGTTTTGAGGCTTTACAAATAAATTCCATTTTGATTTTTTATTCACATAATGAATTTTTATTCACACCAAAAAATAGAAGATTTACTGTTATGCAATATTGTAATAATTGTATAAATATCATCACCAAATTTGTGAATGTATATTAGACCCACCAGCTGACGTGTATTAGACGTGTGAGGTCGTTTGTTTACTCTTGAACATCGGCAAAAATTTAATATTTCCGCCACTTTGAGCTCAATTTCAAGCCATTTCCAGTGCTAACACCAATCAAAATTATCACTATTTCTGTAATATGTCTTCCATTCTATCAAATGAGACCAAGAAATCACAAATACAACAATAAAAAACATACGAAAAAACACTGCAAAGTCGCTGTTTTAATCGAAAATCATGGTCTCAGCTTTTTTCTCTCATTATACACAGTGTGCTGCAGGATTTGTTTTATGTGGTGCACACATACCACATAGATGTATTCTCTCATATCTAGGCCCAAATTTACCACTCACAGTTTATCAGAGTGAGCTGAGCTCATGACGTAGATCTACGGTTTGGACCCTGAACGCAAAGCCGTAGATCTACGGACGGACCCTGAAAGGGTTAACACACAACACACTGGTTGTTTCCCACCGAGGCAGGGTGATCCAAAAAGGATAAAATAAAAGTTTTTTTTTCATTTTACATTTAGTAATTTATACAGGAGAAGGATAGTTTAGTAATCCCTTGCTCTCTGTATTTCAGTTGCCTCTTACAACATGCATGACTTACAGAGAAATGAACAAAGAGTTGTATCTTTAAATAAAATTAATGAAGCAATTAAATTGTTAAACATTTACCTGCTTCTCCACGGGGAAGTGGAACAGAATTCTTTCTCCGCAAGCCATGCATGTCGTAAGAGGCGACTAAAATGCCGGAAGCGAGGGGCTAGTAACCCCTTCTCCTGTATAAATTACTAAATTTAAAAAAGAGAAACTTTTGTTTTTCCTTTTTGGGCCACCCTGCCTCGGTGGGATACAGCCGGTTTGTTGAAAAAAAAAAAAATTTACCTGCTACCAATAATGAAGAAAAACGATAATGTTTGATGCTGACCAGTATGAGAGTATCCTTGACGTAGCTGGTGCTGACAACTGGAGTGAAGCATCCTACCAACACCCTGGCACTGCTTACCATCACAGCATCACTGATTACCAGATTCACTTTTGAAATCTCTGACAAAGATGCCACTTTGGCACCTCCAGCTGCTACAACCCTGTATAAATATCAATAGATTAACACTCAATAACTGTAAAGAATATTTAATTTTATATTAAAGCTCATCTATAATAAACTAAATTTGCCATTAACATAGTTTTTAAATTAAAACTCATAACCTATTTAAAAAAATGGAAATTCAAAGAAGGTAATACTTTAAGTTCACAATCAGTGAATACCTAGCTGCCTTTCCAGAATACCAGAGACTGGCTTCTAAGAAGTCCCATTTAATGCAGGAAAACTGAGCTAGAATTATAGCTAACAATCTGTTACAAAACTAGAAACAGGCTAGATGCTGTGGTAAATGGTTTAAAACCATTTACCACATCTGTCAGACACTGCAACATCAAGGGATCTTGATACAAAGAATTCTTCAACACTTGTCCAATCTTTGGACAAAGACCTACTTAGACTAGTGGATGGTTCCACTATGACCCCGCCGCTTCCTGCTTCGCCTCACCTGGCAACAGTGTATAAGCCACTTCTACGGCCCTATGCTGTACTTTCTACAAGATTGATGAACTGAACACATCGACTCCAGGCTGAGAGACTGATTACTTCAAACACCTCCTCTCCTTACACCTTTCTGCTTTGTATTGGACTGATGAAGCCACTGTGTGGCGAAACGTTTCTTCAATAGATTCCCATATGTTGCATAAGTGTCTCAATCTTCAGGCTAGATGCTAGAGGGGGATCAGTAAGTTGACCTTTTTTTTAGTGTTCTCTGGAGATATCTATGCTCATAGGTGTCATATTCTATAACAGTCTGTCTCACAGTGGATGGATGTGAATGGTGCATTGATACCAACAAACTGTGGAGGACACCTGTGACTTCACTGGTCTAATGAGGTCATTCACCTGTAACTTCATCAGTCTAATGAAGTCATTCATGGTGAAACATTATGCTTGTAGCAATGCAGAACTGACCCACAGATTGGAAATGAAAGATTAACAACATATCAGGCCATTCTGGTCCATAGTATTAAATTATGAGAACAAAAAATGCAGATTATTATTATGCATACATTAGTGACCAGTCCAGGAGGTGGCAATAGTAGGAAATAGTAGAAGCCCCAGCATGTGTGAGCATCCAGTGAGGATCTGACTGTGTTGGTCCCTTGAGGACAATGTTGATGCCATGTTTACACCAAAAACACATCCATGGAAGCCTAGTAAAAGATTCCCATTAATGTTAACTGTAATATCGTACCCAGAATTGCTCTGTGATCATCTGCAATAATTCTTCATGCAGTGCTGTGCAAAGATTTTTATGCACGACAGTGTTGCCAGCCACACCATAAAATCTGTTCTTCAGTTACTTCATAACTGTGAGGTACCTTACTTCAGTGACTGGCCAGCAAATTCCCCAAACTTGAACCCCACTGAGACCCTCTGGGCTGTAATAAAGAGAAATCAACTAAGGAAAGGATATCAGCCAGCTCCCCTGACTGGAGGATGCCATCCATGAGTAGTGGGAGGAATTTACCTCACAAAACCCAAAAGAATGTGCGTTAATCAGCTCCTCAATTATGGAAGGATGCCCTAAAGCACAGGAGACAACCTACTGTGGTACTGGTTATATTACTTTAATGACAAGCACTGAATGTCTGGTACACTAACTTTAGTTCGAGGGTTGAAAGTAGATAAAGTACAGACTCTCCTCACTTAGCAACGTGCTTGTTTACTGATGACTCGGATTTACAATGGGCTCTTTGACCAGTATGCATACCTAAATAATGTAAATCAGAGATGATTTCCTCTATTCTGTTTATTACAACATAAAGTACACTATTGTATAAACATTTAATTTTTTTTTTCTTTTTTTTTTTTTTTCAACAAGTTGGCCGTCTCCCACCGAGGCAGGGTGACCCAAAAAAGAAAGAAAATCCCAAAAAAGAAAATGCTTTCATCATCATTCAACACTTTCACCACACTCACACATAATCACTGTTTTTGCAGAGGTGCTCAGAATACAACAGTTTAAAAGCATATATGTATAAAGATACACAATATATCCCTCCAAACTGCCAATATCCCAAACCCCTCCTTTAAAGTGCAGGCATTGTACTTCCCATTTCCAGGACTCAAGTCCGACTATATGAAAATACCCGGTTTCCCTAAATCCCTTCACTAAATATTACCCTGCTCACACTCCAACAGATCATCAGGTCCCAAGTACCATTCGTCTCCATTCACTCCTATCTAACACGCTCACGCACGCTTGCTGGAAGTCCAAGCCCTTGCCCAAAAAAACCTCCTTTACCCCCTCTCTCCAACCCTTTCGAGGACGACCCCTACCTCGTCTTCCTTCCCCTATAGATTTATATGCTTTCCATGTCATTCTACTTTGATCCATTCTCTCTAAATGACCAAACCACCTCAATAACCCCTCTTCTGCCCTCTGACTAATACTTTTATTAACTCCACACCTTTTCCTAATTTCCACACTCCGAATTTTCTGCATAATATTCACACCACACATTGCCCTTAGACAGGACATCTCCACTGCCTCCAACTGTCTCCCTGCTGCTGCATTTACCACCCAAGCTTCACACCCATATAAGAGTGTTGGTACTACTATACTTTCATACATTCCCTTCTTTGCCTCCATAGATAACGTTTTTTGACTCCACATATACCTCAATGCACCACTCACCTTTTTTCCCTCATCAATTCTATGAATAACCTCATCCTTCATAAATCCATCCGCCAACACGTCAACTCCCAAGTATCTGAAAACATTTACTTCTTCCATACTCCTCCTCCCCAATTTGATATCCAATTTTTCTTTATCTAAATCATTTGATACCCTCATCACCTTACTCTTTTCTATGTTCACTTTCAACTTTCTACCTTTACACACATTCCCAAACTCATCCACTAACCTTTGCAATTGTTCTTTAGAATCTCCCATAAGCACAGTATCATCAGCAAAAAGTAACTGTGTCAATTCCCATTTTGAATTTGATTCCCCATAATTTAATCCCACCCCTCTTCTGAACACCCTAGCATTTACTTCTTTTACAACCCCATCTATAAATATATTAAACAACCATGGTGACATTACACATCCCTGTCTAAGACCTACTTTTACCGGGAAGTACTCTCCCTCTCTTCTACACACCCTAACCTGAGCCTCACTATCCTCATAAAAACTCTTTACAGCATTTAGTAACTTACCACCTATTCCATATACTTGCAACATCTGCCACATTGCTCCCCTATCCACTCTATCATATGCCTTTTCTAAATCCATAAATGCAATAAAAACTTCCCTACCCTTATCTAAATACTGTTCACATATATGCTTCAATGTAAACACTTGATCTACACATCCCCTACCCACTCATCCGCAATCCTACATTCTGTCTTACCTCTAATTCTTTCAATTATAACCCTACCATACACTTTTCCTGGTATACTCAATAAACTTATTCCTCTATAATTTTTTTACAATCTCTTTTGTCCCCTTTCCCTTTATATAAAGGGACTATACATGCTCTCCGCCAATCCCTAGGTACCTTCCCCTCTTTCATACATTTATTAAACAAAAGTACCAACCACTCCAACACTATATCCCCCCCTGCTTTTAACATTTCTGTCATGATCCCATCAGTTCCAGCTGCTTTACCCCCTTTCATTCTACGTAATGCCTCACGTACCTCCCCCACACTTACATTCTGCTCTTTTTCACTCCTAAAAGATGGTATACCTCCCTGACCAGTGCATGAAATTACCACCTCCCTTTCTTCCTCAACATTTAAAAGTTCCTCAAAATATTCTCGCCATCTACCTAATACCTCCCTCTCCCCATCTACTAACTCCCCTACTCTATTTTTAACTGACAAATCCATACTTTCCCTAGGCTTTCTTAACTTGTTTAACTCACTCCAAAATTTTTTCTTATACATTTAAAAATATACCAGAAATATTATAAATGGTGCAAAGGTGACATTAAAACAATATCAAAGATGAGTAACACAAACCCACTCCCATTATAGTTTAATAACATGGTCTTAGAAACGAACTCCATCGTTAAGTAAGGAGAGGCTATACTTATACGATTGGTACACCTACTTCTCAAAGAATTTAGTCATCTTCTTATTTTCCAGACTTATGTACATGGTCCACCCAGCATAGATTAATCTTCCAGTTCTCTCTCTCAACCGACGGAAATATTTTGCCACTTCATCGTAGTTTGAGAGTTCGTAATCTGTTTCTCTGAGCCAGTGGCCTTGTCTGGCACTTTCTGTGACATAGTCAGGATGCAGCAACCATTTACCTTATAAGATGAAATAAAAACATTTAAGCCATGGCTTTTGTGTAGTTATAAAACAATGAAAAATGTTTAATTCTATATATAATAAAAAGTTACAGCTAAGTACAGAAAAACTAAGAAAAACATCAAATATGAGAAAAAGATGCACTAAGTCAATGTTTTACAACAATATGTTATATGATCCATCAATCATCCAAAGTTTACACTGGTGACAGCCATCATGGGGACCACTATACTCTGTTTGATAAATGTTGTAATACAGATAATACACACTCACCCAGAGCTGTACCACTACACACTGCTTGATAAATGCGGTAATACAGACAATGCACATACACCCAAAGTTGTATCACTCTTGGAGCATTTACATTAGAAGACTTAAAATTTTGATTATTAACCTTAGGCAGCCACAATGGAGTGATTAACATTTGAGATGAATACAGATATTGAGAGTAAGTGTATATATAAATTATATTGATGAGAAAGTTTTATATATGTTCATGATATTGAGCAAATGCATGTATAGTTTTTACATATGTATTTATGATGGGCTGTGATAGGTTAAGGAGATAAGGTGCTTTTTAACTCTAGTTTTAAAAATGCTAGCTGAACCAGTAGTTATGGAGATTTCTAGAAGGGAATTCCAGATTTTGGGCTCTTTTATGTACAAGGAGTTTTTGAAAAGATTTAGCCTGACACAGGGAACGTCATAGAGGTTATTGTGCCTAGTCTCGTGTCTATGAGTCCTATTGCAACTGTCAAGAGAGTATTTCAGGTTGGGTATTTATTTTAGAATATTTATTTTAGAATTGATTGTTCTGTAAGTGTAGGTTGCACAATAGTATGAGTGAATCTTTTGTATAGTGAATAGTTTAGGTCTTTGAAGAGTGGGGGAGGCATGAGGGTGTTGTTGTCTAGCAGTGGATTGTATGATCATTCACACTGCAGCTTTTTGTTGTGTTATTAGTGATTTTAAGTGGTTTTTCATTGTGGAACCCCAGGCACAAAGAGCATAGGTGAGGTAGGGGTAGATCAGTGAATAGTATCGTGTAAGTAGTGCTGTTTGTGGTACGTAATAACATATCTCTGAGAGGATGCCAACTGTTTTAGAAACTCTTTTTGTTGTGTGTTGGATATGGGTGTTGAATTTCAGGTTGCTGGCATGGTGCAGACCCAGGAATTTTCTCATGTTATGTTTAGCAATAAGTATGTTCTTAAGCATAATGTTTAGTTGGACCTCACTTGCTCTACTCCCAAACATAATGTAAAAGGTTTTGTTTATATTAAGTGTAAGTTTATTGATGGTCAACCAGGTTGCTATTTTTTGTGAGTTCTTCATTAACAATAGTGTTGAGAGAGGCTAGATTTGGGTGGGAGATGACAAAAGTTGTGTCGTCAGCAAAGAGGATAGGCGTAAGTTGTTGCGATACACTTGGAAGATTGTTGATGTATAAAAGGAAAAGGAGGGGGCCAAGAATGCTTCCCTGTGGTACACCAGTGTTCAGGGGTCTCGTTGAGGAGGTTGCACCCTTGACAGAGACGTATTGCTTTCTATTAATAAGGTAGGACTTGATAAATGCAAGTGCATGAACTCTTATACCATAATGATCAAACCTGAGGAGTAGGATGCTGTCATCTACTGTATCAAAAGCTTTCTTAAAGTCGACTGTAAAGTAGGTCAAGCATTTTTATTATTGCATCATTTGTGCTTTTCGTTTCTCCTGAAGCCAAACTGGCAGGGGTTGAGGATGCTTTGTGATGTTATGAAGGAGTATAACCTTCTGTGTATGAGTTTCTCAAAGATTTTGGAAAGTAAAGGCAAGTTTGATATTGGCCTATAATTGTTTACATCTGCTGGGTCACCACCTTTGTGTATTGGTGTAATCCTTGCTAGCTTGAGTGATGCCAGGAAAGTGTTGGTTTCTAGTAATTTGTTGAGGAGTAATGCAATGGTGAGTGAGAGGATCTGAGCCGCTCGTTTATACAGTAGTGGTGGTACTTGAGTTACATTCCTTGATTTGTTTTTTAGAGTTAATAATCATGGTAACCTCAGTGGACTATGTTGGTGTAAGATAAGAGGGATGTTGGGAAGTTTCCATCCAGATGATCATTAGCTCAGGCATTGGTAACTGGAATTTTACTGAACAACAATGTGATAACACTGAACAACACCTGGAGTATATCTGGAGAGGGCTTGGGGGTCAATGCCCCTGTGGCCTGGTCTGTGACCAGGCCTCACAGTAGATCACAGCCTGATCAACCAGGCTGTTACTGCTGGCCGCAAGCAACCTGGCATACGAACCACAGCCTGGCTGGTCAGGTACTGACTTTAGGTGCCTGCCCAGCGCCTTCTTGAAGACTGCCAGGGGTCTATTGGTAATCCCCCGTTATGTATGCTGGGAGGCAGGTGAACAGTCTTGGGCCCCTGACACTTATTGTGTTGCCTCTTATCGTGCTAGTGGCACCCCTGCTTTTCGTTGGGGGAATGATGCATCGTCTACCAAGTCTTTTGCTTTCATAAGGAGTGATTTTTGTGTGAAAGTTTGGTACAAATCCCTCTAGGATTTTCCAAGTGTATATAATCATGTTCTAGGTAGTAGGGTGGTAAACAGCAACCACCCAGGGAGGTACTACCGTCCTGCCAAGTGAGTGTAAAACTGAAGCCTGTAATTGTTTTACATGATGGTAGGATTGCTGGTGTCCTTTTTTTCTGTCTCATAAACATGCAAGATTTCAGGTACGTCTTGCTACTTCTACTTACACTTAGGTCACACTACACATGCATGTACAAGCATATATATGTATATATACACATCCTCTGGGTTTTCTTCTATTTTCTTTCTAGTTCTTGTTGTTGTTTATTTCCTCTTATCTCCATGGGGAAGTGGAACAGAATTCTTCCTCCGTAAGCCATGCGTGTTGTAAGAGGCGACTAAAATGCCAGGAGCAAGGGCTAGTAACCCCTTCTCCCGTATAAATTACTAAATTTAAAAAGAGAAACTTTCGTTTTTCTTTTTGGGCCACCCTGCCTTGGTGGGATACGGCCGGTTTGTTGAAAAAAAAAAAAAAAAAAAACACATGCAAGATTTCAGGAATGTCTTGCTACTTCTACTGACACTTAGGTCACACTACACATACATGTACAAGCATATATATATACACCCCTCTGGGTTTTCTTCTATTTTCTTTCTAGTTCTTGTTCTTGTTTATTTCCTCTTACCCCCATTGGGAAGTGGAACAGAATTCTTCCTCCGTAAGCCATGCGTGTTGTAAGAGGCGACTAAAATGCCGGGAGCAAGGGGCTAGTAACCCCTTCTCCTGTATATATTATTAAATGTAAAAGGAGAAACTTTCGTTTTTCCTTTTGGGCCACCCCGCCTCGGTAGGATACGGCCGGTGTGTTGAAAGAAAGAAAGAAGATATAATCATGTATCTCTCCCGAACAACAATGTGATAACAGTGAACAACAATGTGATAACAGTGAACAACAATGTGATAACAGTGAACAACAATGTGATAACACTGAACAATGTGATAACAGTGAACAATGTGATAACAGTGAACAACAATGTGATAACAGTGAACAACAATGTGATAACAGTGAACAACAATGTGATAACAGTGAACAACAATGTGATAACAGTGAACAACAATGTGATAACAGTGAACAACAATGTGATAACACTGAACAACAATGTGATAACAGTGAACAATGTGATAACAGTGAACAACAATGTGATAACACTGAACAACAATGTGATAACAGTGAACAACAATGTGATAACAGTGAACAACAATGTGATAACAGTGAACAACAATGTGATAACTGAAACAATGTGTAAACTGAACAATGTGATAACAGTGAACAACAATGTGATAACACTGAACAACAATGTGATAACACTGAACAACAATGTGATAACAGTGAACAATGTGATAACAGTGAACAACAATGTGATAACAGTGAACAACAATGTGATAACACTGAACAACAATGTGATAACAGTGAACAACAATGTGATAACAGTGAACAACAATGTGATAACAGTGAACAACAATGTGATAACAGTGAACAACAATGTGATAACACTGAACAACAATGTGATAACAGTGAACAACAATGTGATAACAGTGAACACAATGTGATAACAGTGAACAATGTGATAATGACAACAATGTGATAACATGAACAAATGTGATAACGTGAAAACAATGTGATACAGTGAACAACATGTGGATACTGAAAACAATGTGATACAGTGACAACATGTGATAACTGAACAAAAAGTGTGAACAGTGAACAACATTGAACGTGAACAACAGTGATAAAGTGTACAACAATGTGATAACAGTGAACAACAATGTGATAACACCAAACAAATGGATATAAAGTGACAACATGTGTAATGAAAACTGTGATAACAGTGACACAATTGATAACAGTGAACAACAATGTATAACAGTTGAACAACATGTGATAACTGAACACAATGTGTACAGTGAACAACATGTGATAACTGAACAACAATGTGATAAAGTGATCAACAATGTGATACTGAACAACAAGTGTAACAGTGAACAACAATTGATACTGGACAACAATGTGGATACAGTGTAACTACATGGTGAACTGAACACATGTGAAACTGTGACAACATGTGATAACTGAAACATGTGATACTTGACACAATGTGATATGAACACAATGTGATAAAGTGAAACAAATGTGTAACAGTGATCAACACATTGTTATACTAGTAACAACAATGTGATAACAGTGAACACATTGGGGATAAAGTGAACAACAATGTGAAACAGTGAACAACAATGTGATAACTGACAACAATGTGATAACACCAAAATCTTTTGATAACAGTGAACAACATGTGATATAGAACTGCTCATAAAGCTTTAGGGAGTCTAAAATGAGAGTACAAAGTTGCAAGAGCATATAAGCATTGAGACAGTATTAAATGCTCTAGGAGATATAAAGCTGGACCGTTAAGCTGAAGATCATAAAAT